AATTTTTTTTTTAAATTTTTTTTTTCAACGTTTATTTATTTTTGGGACAGAGAGAGACAGAGCATGAATGGGGGAGGGGCAGAGAGAGAGGGAGACACAGAATCGGAAACAGGCTCCAGGCTCTGAGCCATCAGCCCAGAGCCTGATGCGGGGCTCGAACTCACGGACCGCGAGATCGTGACCTGGCTGAAGTCGGACGCTTAACCGACTGTGCCACCCAGGCGCCCCTCATCACAAGTTTCTTGAGTGACAATAGAGACACCAGGACCTACTGCCCCAGGAGCGCGTGTAGCCATGGAGGGAGGGATTCACGGGGGCTAAACGTGAATGCACCATGAGCGGAGGCCCTGAACAGGCTGAGATTGCCCGCCTGGGGTGGCAGGGAGGCCTCACCTGAATCAGGTCGAGCTTGGAGAAGAGGTCCCTGCTCTTGGGCACGCTGTGGGCGGAGGGCGAACACTGCTGGACCATGTTGTTGATGGCCACGTGCATGTAGTTGAGCAGCTCTTCCTGCAGAAGGAGAAGGAGGGGGAGGAGGAGAAGGAGGGGGAGGAGAAGGAAGAGGTCCCAATCCTCTCCCACCATTCCCCCTCCCCAGCTCACTCAGACCAGAGAAGCCACCTTCTCATCCTGGTCTGTGCTCCATTCCCAAAGGGCCTTGGATGAGTCCCTCCCACCGCAGGACCTGAGTGTCCTCCCCTGCCATGAGAGACATTGAACTAACTTCCCAGAGGGTCCTCCTGGCCAGAGACCCCACGGTCCACACCTGGAGCAGGGGCTGGGAAGGGGGCTGGAGGAACCCAGAGCTCCTCACTCTGGGCAGCCCCGGAGTCCTGGGCTTCAGGTCTCTGGGGCTGTGGTCAGCGGTGACAGCCTTGCTTCCCACCTTGAAGAGAAAGACCCAGAAGGGGCTCTGTAAACAGTGGCCAGTCCACTCCCCCTCTAAGCCCCTTGGCTGGAGGTCAGCCACCTGTAGATCCCAACCATCGCGTCTTCCGGGATCCCATGGGGCCTGAGAAGGCCCTGGATTCGCTGACCACACTCAGTCCAGGTGCAGTGTGCCCCAGGCCTTGGTCCTGGTGTCTTCCCAGCAGCCCCTGAGGCTGGAAGGGTACAGGCTCTGATTTTAGTGAGGACCCAGGGGCCGGAGGGTAACCAGTCCCCATTCCAAAGGCCAGTAAGCAGGAGCTCGAGAGCTTAAGTCCAGAAATCCTGGCCTCTGGTCACGGATTTCGGGCGTGGCTTACTCTTTCCAAATAATCACTCTTCTCATCTGTGAAACAGATAGAGGTAAGAACCAAGCAGCATTTAGGAGGGCCTGTCCCGGGCAAGGCCTTGTGCCAAGTACTACCTGCCTACCATCAGACAGTCCTAGGAATTACTGACGATCTCACTTAAAAGCCATCGTTCTGTTATTACCTACAAGCATTATCGGAGGACCGGGTAAGCACCCAGCCCATGCCAAGCCCGGGTACTGGTTCTTGGTAGAGCTTGGCCCTTACCTATCTGTGATCTCAGTTTTCCCATCTGTAAAGTAACCCCTGCCCCATCTTAGAGAAGCCCTTTGAAAGCTGACAGTCACCAGGGTGAGGTAAGCAGGGGTGTTGGGGAGGGGTGATGCTTATTGAGGAGACAGCAGCCCCCAGCCCTGCCCCCACCCCATCCCACAGAGTGGGCTCACATCACAGCTGTCCACGTCTCTCTGGTAGGCAACATGGTGTTCCAACTGTCACCACTGTTCCTGCTTGCGGCGACACCTCTTTTGCAGCTGACACAGCAGAATCTTGAGGCTCTGCGGTGGGAGGGGCTGGGTCACCTGGGTGCCGCAAACCCTCCTGGGGCATCTGCCCTGGGCCTGGTCTGGAGGAGCTCACTGCCCAGGGAGATCTGAGCCTGATGGGGGGAGGGAGGAAGGGGAAGTCCTGGGTGGTCTGGCTGTTCAAGGTATCAGGAAATGCCCAAAAGAGCATGTCCAGGCTGACCGGGGCTTAATGCTCGCTTCCTCCCATAACCAGACCCAAGAGTCTGTGCCCTTCTGGGCTCCGAAGCTGCTAGGAGGGCACCGTGGAGCAAGGCCGGCGAAAGCTTCCTGAAGCCCAGCCTGCTCTGGTCGATGTAGTGCTGGCCACACCCCCCCGCAAGGCCCCATGGGATGCGGGCTCAGCCCTGGACCTACACAGGTGTCCTCACTTCTCTGAGTCTTCCTTTCCTCCTCTGGAAAGTGGGAAGAAAAGCCCACCTCGGTCTAAGTTGCAAAATTCAAGGTGGCATCGAAAAACTCAGCTTATGCTTAATTAATTAAGATAAATTACAGTGAAGAACATTTTAATTCACTTGTTGTTTAAAAATCAAAATTAAGGGGCGCCCGGGTGGCCCAGTCGGTTAAGCGTCCGACTTCGGCTCAGGTCATGACCTCACAGTCCGCCAGTTCGAGCCCCGCATTGGGCTCTGCGCTGCCAGCTCGGAGCCTGGAGCCTGCTTCGGATTCTGTGTCTCCCTCTCTCTCTGCCCCTCCCCCCCAACAATAAATAAACATTAAAAAACATGTTTTTAATCCATGATGAACAAAATATTAACATTTTAAAGAAAGATGAGATCCAACCCGGCACTTGAACGCTCAAGGTTACTCACCTCCCCTTGTCTCAGCGCTAGGAATGAAAGCACTTACCTCCAGGTGCGGGGGTGAGATTTAAATGAGATACAGCAGGTAAAGCGCCCTCACCTTGCCAGGCTGCCCATAAAGGGTCCGGTTCTCCGGAGGCGAAAAGGTGCCAAATGGTGTAGGTTTTCAGTGCTGCCACTAGGGGGCAGAGGCTCGCTGCAAACTGCGCACAACGGTCCTGTGCCAGAATCAACCCACCCTCAGCCCTCCTCTCCGAGTCCCCTTCCCCTCCGAGTCCCCAGGCCCCAGCTTCAGCATGCAAATTCATCATGCCACGCCTTTGCCTGGCGCAGTTTCTTCTGGAATGGCCGGCCCTCCTGGCAAAAGTTCTATTTATTATAAGATGAACCAGAAAGGAGAGACAGGTGACTTCTTGGGGCACGAACTTGGGCACCGTCTGTGTCCCGTGCCTCAGGACAACCTCCTAGCTAGTTTGCATTGCCATCTGACAGATAAAGAAACTGAGGCTCAGACAGGGTACACACTTGCTCAGGGTCATGCAGCTAGTCAGAGACTGAACTGGGATCCGCACCCAGTCTGTTTGAATCTAGAATTCGTGGCTTTTCTACCCCCAAGAACATGTTTAAGCATAAGCACTGTCAGGGGTCAGCCTGGAGAAAGGGGACGGAAAGGGAGACAGAACAAGGCTCTGGAGTGACAGCCTCACCCAGACCCTCTCAGCAGCCCACCAATGCTCCGAGACTTCCTCGCAGGTGCAGAGGAGACCCCGGTTTTATGGGCTAAAGGCAAAGGGCCAGGCTTCAGATAGCTGTTACCGGGGTAAGAGCCCTATGACTCTCCTCTAGAGACCCCAGGCTCTGGTGGACGACCTGGTTCCTCTTGGAGAAGGCCTCCAGATGCTTCTGGATGTCCTGGTTGATGGTGAAGAGCTTCCCATAGTGCTCCACCACGGTCTCCACGAGGGCCTCCTCCGGCCCCTCCCCTTCACTGTGGCCTGTGGAGACAGTGCCAAGGAGGGATGGGTGGGCACAGAGAGCCCAGCCCCCACCTGCCCCCTGCAGTGGTGATGCTAATGAGGCAGATGGGACTTCTGCCGAGGTCCCGAAATCCCAGCTGGAGTCCCAAAGTTGACAGGTGCCAGACAATCCACGCAGGGCTTATTCCCAGATGGCAGGACTGGTCCAGCAACTGTCCGGCCTCATCGCCCGCCTCCTGCCCCTTCAAGAGAAGCGGCAACATTAGAAGGACCACCTAGCGGCCAAGAACCCGGATTCCGGATCCATACTGCCCGGTGAGACAGGAGACTGTCCCCCAGGAAAAAGTGCTGACTGGGGGAGCCCACAAGAAGGGGATAGGAATTGTTGCTGTCCTGAGTGATAGGGTCCCTGGCTTTGGTGGTAACCCATCCCGGATGGGGTGAGCAGGGTTGAATTGCTGAGTTAGGAAGACTCCAAACCAGGAGGCTGCTTTAGAAGCAGCTCTGGGTGCTGGGTCTGGTCAAGCCCCATGCTGACCTGGAGCTCTCACCCCTCCTTGGCTTGGTGCTCGAAGCTCTTTGGTGCTGCTCAACTTTCTGGTGCCATCTCCCAGCAACTCCCCGAACCAGGTCCTGGTGCTCCAGCATACTGGGACTCACCATCCACAAACCCGTCATGCAGGGCTGTGGCTGTTCCCCCTGCCTGCCATGCTCTTCCCCCTCGCTGAGCTCATTTGAGCCCAATGAGAGGCCACCTCCTCCGCGAAGCCTGCCCTGACCTCCGGGGCAGAGTTTGGGGGCGGGGGGGGCTCTCACAGCTCCACAGCGCTTAGTGCAGTGGCTCTGAAGTCAGACCAGAATCTGAGACCCGGCCCCAGTATTTCCTGGCTGGGCATTTGGGGCAAGTTCCTTAATGTCTCTGAGCCTGGGTAACAGAAGCTCACGCAGAGGGGTAAAAAAAAGATTCACTAAAGGGCTTGGCACAGAGTAAGTAGTTAATAAACGGTAATAGTTATTTTTATTGGTGTAATGTTGAGATAATGACGATGAGAAAAATACCTGCTTGTGTCTCCTTCCCTTTCCTAACAAGCTTCTGGCCCGGATGGCAGTGGGCTCTGGGTTGAATCAGGATAAAACAAAACGCAAAGCCCATTTCCGGTGTCTGTGTCATTGTCGTTGGTCATAGCGACACATGAAACAAAACCAAAGACCCACGAAATAGTAGCGATAATAGCTAACATTTACCAGGTGTCAGCTGAATGCCGGGGCTTCTGAAGGGTGACTTCCTCCATTTGAGTGACCGGTGCGGCTCCCCTTGTACAGATAAAGAAACCAGGACCTCGAGAACTTGCCACAGGCCACAGTGGCCTCACCAGGGTTCACCAGGCAGGCTCACTGGGCACCTGTGCCCTTTTGAACCCCTGTGGCCTCGACCTTTGTGGGTCTTCATGCTGCAGGTGGAGTTCAAGGCTCACAGTGTCCTGGCCCCAAGGCTGGGAGGCGGTGTCGGAGGGGAAGCTCCATACATACCCTTGGGGATCTTCTCAAGGACCTCAATCAGAGTGTCTTCAGAAGAGCTTCTCCACCTCGCTCTTCAGCTTCCTCTGCCTGCGAGGACATTTCAGTGACAGGAAGAGCCAGGCACCAGTGCCTTGTTTGGAGGCTCCCAGGTCATGACCTCTTGCAAGGCTTTCCCTGGATCTCCTGCTCAGACTTGCCCTGGCCAGTCCCCCCCTCTACCCCTCATCTCCACCCCATTTCCTGATGAGCTAACTGAGCCACAACGGTTCAAAGAGCTGCCGTGGTCAGGCACGGGGGAGAGTGGAGTCCAGTCTGTCTGGTGGGGGGTGGGGGGTCTACAGAGCCTCTCCTAGAGGTAGCCTGAGCCCCCCCTACCAGCTGGTGACCTGGCCAGGAGCTTCACTTCTGTGCTTGGACAGCCCATCTATAACGACAGTAGTGAGAGCCCCTCCCTGGGATTACGCATGGGGTGCCCAGCACATGGTGAGCGCTTAGTCCGAGGTCGGGGGCCCCAGCACCCCGAGAGGGGAGATGACCGCTTACTGCTGCCCAGCCACGCTTGTCTCTTAGGCGAGCCCCTGAGCAAGATAGGTCTCCAGTAGGGCTCCTGCTCTGTGCCCCGTCAAGGTCAGGGGTCAAGGGCAGAGGCAGAGCGGGCCCCCTCCCCACTCCGGTCAGCTGGCTGAGCCTCCAGGGGCTGTGGTAGGATCTCTGAGTGATTGCTGAGTGACCCAAGGCAGGCCTCTCTGCCTCTCGTGCCCCATCTTGTCATCCATACAGTCCTGGAAAATGCAGGGAAACTGTCTTTCCCCACAAACACCATGTATGTGGGCCCTGCGCATCATGGGGCTAAACCATAGTGGGGTCGGGAAGTCATTCTAGAATCTGATGGAAGGGTTGGACCTTTTCTCCATAAAATTGCTCACGGACACAGGCTTTTGCATCTAATTCAGGCTTTTAAGGGCAAGCTGAAACCGGAGGGCTGCCTGAGGGGAGAGGACCCAGGGTCGCCTTGCAAGTTGACTTGGGTTGAGCTGATAGGTGCAGGGGATGGCCACCCACAGCCCTGCCTCTGACAGGAGACGAAGCCTGCAGAGGGCGTGGGATGGCCCAAGGTCCCCCACCGCCCCCACCGGGGCCCCCCCTCCCCATTTTCTTCCAGGTGTCCTTGTCCCTTCCCTGATGGCCCTTGCAACGTTCGCTCAGTCCTGGCCACTTAGCCCACCACGGGTGGCGCTGGGTCTGGGGCAGGGGTCCAGCGTGGCCTGGGTCAACTTGTACTTGGCCGGGGGCTGGCAGAGTTCCGTAACAGCACCTGCAGGGCCCTGTCCTTGTCGACAGTCACACTGGCCTGTGTCCCTGGCCACCAGCATTGCCCCTCGCTGCCCCGGCTGTGCTAGAGGACGAGGGCCACGTGGGCCAGGTGGGAAGAGGATGGACAGCAATGGCAGCAAGGAGGACAGCAGCTTTCTCTCCGACCTTCTCGACGGTCCCCAAAAGCCAGGGTACATTCCCGCTTCCTAGAAAAGGAGACAGAGGCTCCGAGGGGGCCTGTGGCCTGCCCAGGAACACACGGCAGGACTGGATATGGACTTGAGCTCATTAAAGCCAATGTTTGGGGTCTTTGAGCTGCACCCCCAGCTCTGGAAGGGCCAGATTTGCCTTTCTATAGTGGCATTTTTGGCCTTACCACCCCATAACTGGGATCGGTCCCATCATCGTCAAGTCCCAAATTCACCAAGATACCCGGGCCTTCCAACAGGTGCTGGTTCCCAACAAGAGAGTCCCAGGGTCAGGGCTGGGGACTGGTTCAGAAAGCAGCCCGCATGGGGAGGGGACACCTTTGTCACCTACCCTGCCCACCCACCCTCCACCCCTTTATGCATTCAGTGACATCACTGTGAGCGGATAGGAGCTTATCAAAGGACAGTGGGGGCTGGGACAGATCAGTGAGCCCGTAGTCAGGCTGCGGAGGTGGCCTAGGTAACAGGTAGTTTCCACACAGCCTTGCAAAGAGCTCCCGGACCATTTGCCTAAGCCCGGTTCCCAGTTATGACCCAAAGGAGAAGGAAGTCTCCCTAAGCCTGCCATTCATTGGCCATCTGCTGGACCAGCCACAGCACGTGCGTGGAGCAGGGAGAGAAGGTGAGGGGCTACATGGTCAGCCTTTCTAGCCCTGAGCATCAGACGTGAGCCTGGGGAAGGAGGAGGGGGTCCTCTTGACTCACTCACAGCTCCAAGGGCACAGAGCCACAGCGGGGCCGTGACATCATAACGTTGGCTTCTGTCCTTATGACATGTCCCCTGCAGGATCCACCCGTGGGTGGCGGGCTGCATTCTCCGTGGCCTTACCCCTGCCTCCCTGGTTCAGGTCCCAAGGAGAAGGGGAAGAGGCATCAGTGACCCCAGAGAGACTTGGGCTGTTTTTGTCCTTTCAGGCTGGTCGAATATAGGCAAGGTAGAGGTCATTTTTAATGTTCCCACTCCGCGGGCTCCCCAGATCCCACTGGCGTGCCCCAGGACTCTCCCTGTTACCTCCTTCTACCTGACTTTGCATGGCTGCAGGCTGTGCAGTTCCCCAGCTGGGGCACTGAGCAACCCATAACGACTCAGCCCTGCCCCTGGCTCAGAACCACACCCGGCCCAGGGTAGGGGAAGGGGCATGCTGGAGGGGGCCTCAGGTCCTCAACCTGGGACCAGCCCCTGCCTTATGGCTTGGCCCTGCTGCCTGCTGTTGAAGCTGCTGGGCCTGTGGCATTTGGGGGAGCCGGGCCTGGTGCCCTACTAACTGTCCAGGCCTCCCCAGCAAAGCCCCATTTGCTCAGAGCCAGGGTCTCACGGAGGGCAGCCTGGAGAGCCCTGGCGAGAATGCTGGGGGGAGGAAGGGACCACAGTGAGGGGAAAGGTGGCTGGGGGAGCCCGGGGCAGGGGCCAGGGCCTCTGGTGAGAGGGCAGGGGCAGGAAGTGGGGCCTACGCAAGGGCCCGCACTCAGAGGGCAGTGGATTGAGTCCCTGCCGGCCCAGGAGTCCCTGAGCAGGACTCAAGAGAGCTGTCTCTGTCTGACCTCCATGGTTCTAGAGGCCCTCAAACCCCTGAGGAGCACAGACTGAGGAAGGACGGAGAGCAGGGCCTGGCGCTGGCCTTGGGTTCATGTGGTGCAGATGGTCAGAGGTCTGGGGTCTGGGGTCTGAGGTTGCCCAGAGAGTCAGAGCCGGCCTGAGGGTGGAGGTGGGGAGCAGGGCTGGAGGAGCCTCCCGGAGTCGACAATGTCTGAGGTGGTTCTTGAGGATAAGGACGAGCCAGGGAAAGTAAGGTGGGAACATATTCCTGGCAGAAGGAACAGCCGGGACGAAGGTTCAGAGGCAGGAAATAGCGTCCAGGTCTGTGAGAACTAGAGGCAGATCCTTAAAAGCAGAAGGCGAAGGTCAGAGTGGGAGCGGTGTGGCTGTGGCCGGAGGAGCCGTCAGCAGGAGCCAGAGTGTCCGTGCCAGGCTCTCTGTTGCCTGCGACATAAACCAGTAGTCTGCTCGGGCAAAGGGGGCATCAGTGGAAGGTGCGAGGGAGGCCGCAACATCAGCAGAAGAGCTAAAACCCAGGCTCGGAGAGTGTGGGGGCCCACGGCAACCCTGGAGATCCAGGCAGCAGGAGCTCAGGGGGGACATCCTCCCAAATGGACCCTCCCCTACCCCTCGATCCCCAAGATCCCCAAGAATCAAGGTCCTTAGAGAGGGCCAAGCCTGGTCATGTGCCCGCCCCTTGGCTTGACTGACAGTCACATCGTAGGAACTGCACTGGGGGCTGGAAGTTTCCCAGAGCAAATCCCAGGCCTTTGGCGGGAGACCCGGAAATGGATGCTTAGCAGGTGCTCACCACACGGAGGCTCAGGGGAGTCCGGCGAGTCTGGGCTTTATCCCGAAGACAACAGGCAGCTGGAGGGACCCAGCGGAAGGAGTGCCATGGTCAGACTGGCATTTTGGAGCATGCTCTCGGGCTCAGAGTGGAGGTGAGGCAGGGAGGCGGGCAGTTCTAGCGTCTAACATTTGTCAGGACACTTCTAAGCGCTTTCCAAGCAGGGCGTAACATCGCGTGGCGCGCCACGAGGTCAGAGCTGTCCTTTCGCTGGGGGGAAACTGAGGCACAGAGAGACACACGCCCAAGACCTCACTGTTGGGAAATCGAGGAGCTGAGCTGTTAATCTAGGAAGCTGGGACTTCAGAAAGTCTCGGAGGTTGAGTTGCTGGGACTTGGGAACCGATCCAGTGGGGACGCCACAAGCTGGGTCATAGGGTGAGGGAGGGCTGCTCCCGGGGGAGACCCTGTTAGCGCCTGTGGGCGTGGGGCCTTCACACGTGCAGGGCAGACGACTGCCCCTCTCCTGGGCTTCAGCAGATCCGGGAGAAGGCCTCCCTAGACCTCATCGTTCTCCAGGCTCCCAAACCCTAGGATCCCCTCTCCTGGTCATTTGGGGCCCTGAACCACTTGACCCAGGATGGCCGCAGGCAGGGACAGCAAAACAGCAAAAGGGACGGTCAGATTAGGCCTCCTGCCCAGATTTCCAGCCCTGCCTGCCCTGTAGCCCCAAATGTCCCCAAGCCCCACGGCCAGCCCTTCCCCAGCCACCAGCCACGGGGCGGGGCGGTGTTCAGGAGGGCTACCACCTGTGTGACCTCAGGGAAAGTACATAACCTCTCTGAGCCTCAGGTTTGAAATGTAAAGTGGAGGTGATAACTGTGATGAGGGAGCTTGGGGCGAGCTGGGGACAAAGTGCAAGCAAGCGGCCCCACCCCCACCCCCCCCCAGGCGGGATGCCTGTGACATTCCTCAGGCACTTCTGGCTCCTCAAGGACAAAGGAAAGGAAAGGAAACAAATGGCCAGCGGATAGAGATCACAGTCCTACAGGACATGGGTCCCCCTCAGTTTGCAAATATCTTAGTGAATGACAAGAAAAGGGCAGTGTTACCCATCGCCGAATCCCCAGAAACCTAGAGACTCGCAGCATCACCCCTCCATAGTGATGTGGGGAACGAAGGCAGAAGGAAATGGCCGGTAAAATTAAATTTCCTCCTGACCTGCAGCCCATTGACAGATACTTGGGGCGAATCCAGAGTGTAACATTCTCCAGGAACCCTCTACCCTCCTAATGTGAATGCCTTACGAGAGGGAAAACTCCCTTAGCTTAACAATAGCAGATCCTCGGTCGAGTATCTTGAGTATTTTTGGAGTCCTCTTTAGCACATCAAAGTCCCTCCAGGGGCCTCGCATTTGACTTTGCCTCCCCAACTCCACAGAATATAAGGAGCCACTCTTTCAACCCCAGTGCAGCTCTTCCTGCCCACGGGGTCCTGTCCCCGTGCTTTAATAAAATCACCTTTTTGCACCAAAGACATCTTCAAGGATTCCTTCTTGGTCGTCGGCTCCGGACCCCCCGCCATCACCCGAAAACCTAGAACTAGATGCCATAATCCACACCGAGCATCATCTCATGTTTGTCAAAAAAAATCTGTGTGCGTGTATGTGTTTGTGTGTGTGCGCATAGGAGAGAGTCTAGGAGGATACGAATGATATTTTTAGGCCTTACTTTAGGGGCAGAGATGCGGAGAAACTTCTACAATCATAACTCTGAGAGCAGCACGCAACGCTGTGCTTGGCACATAGTAGGTGTTCAATCAGACTTAGTTTTTCTCTTGAAAGTTATCTATTTATTTTGAGAGAGAGAGAGAGAGAGAGAGAGAGAGAGAGTGTGTGTGTGTGTGATTCGGGGAGGGGCAGAGAGAAAGGAAGAGAGAGAGAATTCCAAGCAGGCTCCGCACCGTCAGCGCAGAGCCCGATATGGGGCTCGAACCCACGAACCGTGAGATCATGACCTGAGCCAAAGTCGGACGCTTAAGTGACTGAGCCACCCAGGCGCCCCAGTCAGCCTTAGTTTTGATTCCTGTCGCTCCCTTTCCACTCCCTCCAGGTGACAATGGTCATG